TTTGTGTGTGCAAGTGTGTGTATTTACTATATGTACCAACAGGATGTAGCTGTTAGCTTTTGGACCTCGCCTTTCTAACTGTCGGTTTTCTAATATGTATGTAGTTGTTTTAGATTCAGCTACTCAGAACAAAGAGTTCCAAGTAGCACGGGCTATGGTGAGCCCGTAGTGGATTTACCTGGCACAGGGGCAGGGCTGTAGCTGCTGATGTGTTGTTGTTTTAGATTTAGCTACTCGGAACGAAATGTCCATGTAGCACGGGCTATAGTGAGCCCGTAATGCTGATGAGTGTTTGCTGTTGCAGATTCAGCTACTCGGAACAAGTTCCAAGTAGCACGGGCTATGGTGAGCCCGTAGCTTACCTGGCGCAGGAGCGGGGCAAGTAGCACAGGAGCAGTGCTGTGTGTCTCCGCTGATGAGTGTGTGTGTGTGCCTGTGTGTGCCTGTGTATATGTGTTAGTGGGGTGAGAGGATGGCCTCTGGGTGTTAGAAGTTGATCGTAAAAATGTCATTCTCGCTCTGCACAGATCAGTAATGTCCTAGGTGGGTTGCCCGGCAGTGCCCGGGTCTACCCTGTGTATAGGTGTGTACCCAACGGCTCTCTTTCTCTTTATCCCTCCTCCTTACCTTGAGGTGCTTCCGGGGCTTAGCGTCCCCACGGCCCGGTCGTCGACCAGGCCTCCTGGTCGGCAAAACACGCTAGAGCAGCACTGTATCAACATCCAATCAACATTATCGATGTTGATAACTGCCGAGGAATCTACTGGTAAACACTGTTGACAATCAAACCCACATTTTGGACTTCATTGGAGTCGTTGGTTTCCTGAATTTACCTAAGGGCCACCAACAATGTAGTGGGCACGACGGGGACAGGATGCCTGAGACTTCTCTGTTACGAAGTTGTCATAATAAATAATGTGTTGTAATCTAGTAAATCATCCACTATACCGGGTTCTTGGGCTGCAGTAAGATTGATGAAGATTAAGCCACCCAAGAGGTGGCATGGGCATGAATAGCCCGTAAAGAGCTGCAGTAATAATGACAACACATGCTACCACGCCCTCTAGGTGAGGTGGACAAGGCCCGGCCCCCCAGGGAAAGTAATCCCTTAACTAACCTGTAATAGATATAAATCTGTCCCCTCCAAATGGACACAGGGAAAACAAGTGGGTATAATTCCTGGTTTTATTATCAAAAAAGGTCGGCGTTTATTCCTGCAGGTCGGCGTTCAATCCCCGACCGTCCAAGTGGTTGGGCACCATTCCTTTCCACCAGTCCCATCCCAAATCCTTATCCTGACCCCTTCCCAGTGCTATATAGTCGTAATGGCTTAGTACTTTCCCCTGATAATCCCCCCCCCCCCGATAATACAACCCCTGGCATTGCCTGTTGACATTTACCATATGTTCAGAATCCCCCTTTGATAGGGATAAAGACTTACAAACGAAACACTAGGCGAGCTTAAAACTTCTGATTGAAGTACAATTTAACATGTTCCTCGCCCCCCATAATACATCAAATATCGTCTCCAAGCTTACTCCCACTATACTTTTTCTTTTCTTGCCTAGTTTTAAAAGAAGTCAGAAGATTACTATATATAGATGATTATTTGAGCACCTCAAGGGACTTGTCCTAGAGGAGGGTAGGAATAGCCTAAGCTATTCTCTTTTTTTTATAATATATATATATTAGTTAAATACGGGATTTTCCGATTGATAAATATGAGTCCATAGCTTCGTAATACTTTTTTTTATAGTGAATGGTTTCAAGTGGAGTTTTGGATGTAGATCGAAAAACATATAAAATACATAGAGAACAATTAGCCAGAGTGACTGGTACAGTGTACGGCATTTACGATTAATACGCGTGGTGTGTTTCGTATCTGAATTAAGACTGTTTCTCCTCTCTGTTCCCACTTCTTTAGTCTGTCTTTCTGTATGTTTCTCTCCTGCGTCTCCTTGCCCCCTCCTCATCTCTACATATAAATATATAATATTCTAGTAGACTTCAAGATCGCAACCACAAGCAATACACTCAATCGTTCAAGAAATGTAATTTATAATCTTGGAAAATGTTCAATGTGAAAATCGGCAGGCAGGAGGAGGATACATGTTGAAAAGTTCTTCATGGGTGAGATGCGAACGAGGTCCTAAAAGGGGGCCACGAGGGCATAATGACCACCGGAAATAAAGAAAGTGGCATAAAGGGGAGAAACAATTCCTAAGGAGTCCTGGAATGAGGAAGATAACAAGAGGAAATTGTTGGGAGAGATGAGGCGGAGAGCGTGATTGGGCTTTGATCCATTAACTGCTGGAGGCGAGAGAGGCGGGCCAAGTACCAGACGAATGATTAGCTGGTCTGGCAAGGCGGGTATACGACGAGCTAGCCTTGGAGATGGACAGGGGATTTCGTATGTGGCGATCAGGTCTTCTTTCATGTCCTTTTCCTAATATAAGATCTAGCTCTTTTTCTTCATAATCTGTTTTACATTTTATGTTAATTTTGTTTTGAGCATTTAAAATTGGGACTTGGGGGGGGGGGTTCCTCATGGTCCAATACTGGCTTCACAAGTTAGTGTACATTGCCTCTAATTGATGAAAGCTACTATGATTTTTACCATCTTTGAATGTGTAACTAATGTGATTCTGCTGTGCCTCTGGAGACGGTTTAACAATAGTGCATGTGTTCTGTATTTGTGGTTGTTGTGCTCTTCTTCATTCACATTACCTTACATTTAATTGGTTGGGATCAAGCAACCAACTTTCAGATCAGCCATGCAGCTTTTGGTCTCACATCCATCATACCCAGGAAACTATTAGCGTAGGATTCAGAAAACAGGATTTCTAAGAGAAGCCTCATCCTCTGATACACTGATGGAAATAGAATATCCATCAATGAGTGAAATAAAGGATGGGACAGACAGGAGTGCATTACGGGTTTGGTTCAGGGTGGAGATTGGTGGATGGGAGAGAGCGAGAGAGAGACAGAGAGAGAGATTAGTGAAAGAAAGGATTCGAAAACTCTGAGACATTATTTTGAAAGGAGACATTATTTTGGAAGAAAACAATTCCTGGATTTGGTTTTAGAGTAAGCGGTGCACACGAGGGCGTGGTGAGTGAGGTTATTGAGTTGTAGGTAACATAAGGAAACTTGAGTTGTTCTAGAGGAGTGAAGGGGGAGAGAGGAGAACTAAACGTCTACTGCTAGTGGTGGCGCTGCCTGATGAAAAGAGGGAGGATTAGTGGAATGGAAGGTATTACTTCCAGAGGGTGTGCAGGAAAGTGGGAAAAGAGAGGGGGTTATATGTAGGGTAGAGGCATGGTATATTGTAGGGACTGTAGTGTGGTTGTAAGGGAGTATTGTAGAGAATGTAGGAGGTTCGTCGTCAGATTAGAAATAAAAATGATTTTTGGAAAATTGATTTTTCAATTACCATCGTCAGTAAAAAGAAACATAAGAAATATTGAGAAAATTCGTGTTAGAATTATTAATCTCACTTTTTCGGTCATATTTAACAACAAATGTTTACAAGAAAGACTGCTACCAAAATATACTAATATGCAATATATATATATATATATATATATATATATATATATATATATATATATATATATATATATATATATATATATATATATATATATATATATATATATATATATATATATATATGTATATATATATATATATATATATATATATATATATATATATATATATATATATATATATATATATATATATATATATATATATATTGCATATAGCAGCGAGGGTAAGGGTTCAACTTCCTTTTGTGGTTCCACACTAATTGTTTAAATTCTCTCAAATTTGTTTCTGGTTTTTGGTTTCATTCCTGTACTATTATCTCCACCAATAGCTTCAATCATCCATACTCATAGTGGGCCAGCCAGAGGCTTAGGGCCCGCGCAGGAATATCCCTGCAAAAAAAAAAAATCCATACTCAATTCATACTCCCTCGCAGTTTCCTCCCTCTACTTAGCTTCCATCTCCACTGTTATTCTAATGTGCTTTGAGACCCGTCCATACCTTTTACCTAGTTCCCATACAATACCTTCCTCACCTTATCCTCTCGTTCCCTCATAAATTTCATAGTTCTCCCTTCCGTGACTGCCCTCTCTGTCTTCCTTCTCACTCCCTCTCTCTTTGCCTAACTCCCACTCCCTTGTTCTCTACCTTAATTCTTTGCCTTACGTAGCATTGATTCGCGGCACTAAAATATCAGGGACCGCTGTTGCTCTTGACACAATAGGTACAACAGTAACATTTAGGGGTCCCTGTAGTACAGTCGGGTCCGTTCTCGACACACACTCGAAAATTCCGGATTCGAATCCTGGGTGGGACAGAAATGGTTGGGCACATTTCCTTTCACCTGATGCCTCTGTTCACATAGCAGTGAGTATGTACGCAGAGGCTAGTTAGTAGTCAGCTTGTTGTGGGGTTGCATCCTGGGCGGGGTCAGTAATTCGGCCTTTGTTGGGTAGGGGGGGTCGGGGACCTAGAAAAGCCTAACGTATATGAATAAACTCTGGCTTCCTGTCCCTCGTCATAATGAATTATTATGAATTATGTCTTACGTTATCGCTACATGGTTCACTGGGCGTCGTGCGGCCCCTGCTCTAACACTGGTGTTTTTATTTTACCTTCACCACCTCAACACCGGGTACCCTTCCCAACACCAAATATTCCCCCCCAAAACACTCCTCTTTTTCCCAAACTGCACAGAACTCTCCCTTCAGACTCCCCCTCCCCCTATAACACACAACTTCAATTCGCTTGTTTATTACTGTTTTCTATCATACATAAGACACTTTTATGATTATCTGTCACTTAACTCTATTTCAGTTTCCCCTTAAACTGTTCAACGTTTCTGTCCACTACACGGACTCGGTACGCAAAAGTAAATTTTACTAGTCGTGTATGTACGTAAGCTTACAAGTCACTAACATTATATTTAATTTCACCTCCCTGGTCAGAATTGAGCAGACTTAATTAAACTTAGTTTCGTGCACCACTAAAGCGAGTAGCGTGACCTCATGGAGACTAAGGCACAGCTGCACTCAATGTACCCTTAACAGACAATATAATATCTCGTGAAAACAGATGTTAATAGTCATCTTCTTGGGATCAAAGCTAGCACTCTGAAAACGAGAAAAAATAGTTTGTGCTGCTAGCGCACATCCTGGTGGCTAGCGCACACCCTGGTGGCTAGCGCACACCCTGGTGGTTAGCGCACATCCTGGTGGCTAGCGCACACCCTGGTGGCTAGCGCACATCCTGGTGGTTAGCGCACACCCTGGCTGCTAGCGCACACCCTGGCTGCTAGCACACACCCTGGCTGCTAGCGCACACCCTGGCTGCTAGCACACACCCTGGCTGCTAGCGCACACCCTGGCTACTAGCGCACACCCTGGCTGCTAGCGCACACCCTGGCTACTAGCGCACACCCTGGCTGCTAGCACACACCCTGGCTGCTAGCGCACACCCTGGCTGCTAGCACACACCCTGGCTGCTAGCGCACACCCTGGCTACTAGCGCACACCCTGGCTGCTAGCACACACCCTGGCTAGCCTCGCACACCTTGCGCAAGTACACAAGCTGTGTGTAGGCTGGTGGGAGCTCTCCGCCTCCCTCACACATCCACAGCACCACTTCCTGCTCCGTCACCTTTCCAGTCGTGGTAAGTACTCATGTTACTACTCATATAATGTTCTTATAAATTTATGTGCATTCCTAGTACACACAGAGGCAGGCACACACACACACTATTTGCAAAGAGGACTCACAGCTTTGGAAAAAAAGGACAGAAAAAGTGTTAAAGGGGATTTGTTATGTCTTCTCCAATGCAGGTTTATCTACTCTTCGCTTTCCACCCCTTTACATTTTCTTCTTGCTTTATTTATTTGACATTTGTTAAGAAATGCACATTTCAAGTTTGAGAGTATAAAGAGTGATTAAAGGTTGTGATTAAAGAATGCAAAGTCAGTAATATGCAAAAAAAGACAAGAAACACGGGCAAAGAAGTCTTCATGTGTTTTAAAACAAGCAATAATTCTAGAGTAAAAATATGTGTTTTACATATTTTTATTTACTTCAATCATTAGGCCCTCATTTGAGTATGCTTAATTAGGGTCCATTTAATGGTTTACCTCGAGGGTGCATTATAGGGTTTACATATAAATTAAAGCGAATGTCGCCATCCGAGGCTGTAATAATATAGTTCTGGACAGCCACTTAAGCGACCCAAGTTCGAGTTTTTGAGTCTCGACTGTATGTGATAAATACAAGTGTACAAACCTACGGAAATAATGTAAGAAAAAAATAGGCAGGATATATATAATGGCTAGAATTTGTGGGTAATTAAGCTGTAATTAAATTTGATAAATGTTTAATGATGTAGTGAAGCAGGCTGTGGCAGGCTTGCTGGTGTTGACTGATGAAGTGTTGGCGAATGGACGTAATTAACACATAATCCATTATCAATGTAATTATTCACTCCGTGGGTGTTCACTGAAGATAATAGGCATTTGGATCGTTGGCTCACTCTTTAATGAAATTCCTCCAGTATTCAACCAGTTCAAATAAAAAAGGTCACAAAAAATATGAAGATCTGAATTCCACAGAATGTTAACAAAATCCTTTTGATTATTGCCGCAGTCTGTGTAATGGTCTCTGAGCTGCTGTGTAAAAGACTGTGCACTCCCAGTTAAAGCAACACCCTAAGTTTGTGACAATGACTGGATGTTTGCCTTATATGACTTATTTAAATGAAGTCTTTACGACGAGAAATTTTTTAATAGACTTTAAAGAACCAATTTTTTTTCCCCCCATGACTGATACTGCCAAAATCGGCACGGAAATATTACAACCAGTTCAATAGAGCCACAGGGTTCCCAGTAACGTGTAAATGGTTTCATAACGCGGCGTAATCCACACCGTGAAGTATGTATCAGACGGATTCATTCTGCGGGCGCGATAAATTGTTGCAAGTACGACCAAATCACGCGGCGAGAGTGGCGGGAAACGGGGACGGAATATATACTGCGTGGGGAGAGGTGATGGAGCGGTTTGCAGCCTATCCACAAGTACAGGTACTCTACCAACACTCTGCGCTGCTAGAGTACACAGGTAGTAGTAGTAAGCACAGTCGGATCACAACACAAATATCCCAGGTTCGATTCTTGTGGCAGGACGGAAGAAGTTGGGCAACTTTCCTTTTCACTCGATGCCTCTCTTCAACTAACAGTAAATTGATACTCAAGAGATAGGCAACTGTTGAGGGTTGTATGCTTGGGCAGTAGTTGGCCTAAAGGGCACCTCGATAAACCTAAGAGGATTCTTGTCCCCGAGTATGGAAAACCATTAGGTAAACCATGACAATTTTATGATTCGTTTAGTCAGGCACAGAAAGCCTGTGTATTTATTACATGTGGTACAGTGGTAGAGCTTCTGCCTCACGCTTGTGGGGGTCGGCCGTTCGAGTGCCTTAGTGCCCAATATATATATATATATATATATATATATATATATATATATATACACACACACACACACTTTAGGCTTGTATGAAGGTCCCTTCGATGGCAGAATTACTAATTTGACCCAAGATACAACACCCGCAACAGTTGCCTAGCTCCTGGGGTGCCTCTTTATTACTAGGTGAATAGTAGCATCAGGTGAAGGGAAACTGCTCAACCATTTCTGTCCGGCCAGCTCGTCTCCCTGCAATAGTCAGCGCCGTCACCCCTTGAAAATAAAGTATTTAAGGTTAATTTGCAATCAATTACGGGTTTACATCATATTTATCGTATATATAATGAATTAATGACAATGACACTCAGGCTCTCTGGAGTGGCTGCCGCCGGCGACGCGTGACATTATTATTATTAACATCTTTATTGGCAAAATTACTTTACAGTTTTGCCTAATCTGAGTAACTCCACTAGGTCTTATTGCAGTGAGGTGCCGCTCGTATTCACAGCCACACAAGACAGAGGATCATACACAAGACTATAAGTCGGTTTACGAATTTGTATATGTAACTTGTTCACTGCCACACAAGGCAGGGAAGGATTCTTGAGAGATGCAGCTTACAGAAAAAAAAAATCGTTCTTTATTCTTTAAAATTGCACAAGGAAATTTAGGATTTCTTTCAGTATACTAGATCCAACAAAATAGTAACATAATTGATTGTACAATATGCCAGGTATATATATAATATATTGTATAATATAAAGTGTTCACTACATTAAATAATGTTGTGTTCAAGTGAATGATTTAATGGTTTGTCACAGAGTTTATAGCCTCAATATTTTAGGAGTAACTCAGCCTCATATACTTGCGGGATGTGTTTACAGCCAAGGCGAATTCATACAATGACTACGTCACATTGTCTGAGTCGATTACTGTGTTGACCATACAAGACTGCTATTATTACAAAAGTTGTCATAGCTTATAGTAGTGGAGCTTTCAGGTCTTTGGTAATTTTTTTAGTACTTCTAAATCTGAAGTAATCTCTTTAATTTCTATGTTTTTATAATTGCATTAGATGGTCCAAAGTCATAGTGTGTTTAATTTCCTGTTAGCTTCATTGGCCAATCGGTCTACATAGTCATGCTTTCGAACCCCAACATGGGATGGGATCCACATAAATGTTGTACAAATGATGTTACCATTAGCATATATCACATTCCATTTAATAGTACAATCTACTCAGACATTAATTGTGATGGCTTATTTAAAGATCTCAGAGCACTTTTAAAGTCACAAAATATCACTCCACCCCCATTAGGCTTAAGGTACTCTGTGGCTAGATAAATATCCAACAGCTCAGTTTGTGTTGTGTTGACCAGACCACACACTAGAAGGTGAAGGGACGACGACGTTTCGGTCCGTCCTGGACCATTCTCAATCGACTTGAGAATGGTCCAAGACGGACCGAAACGTCGTCGTCCCTTTACCTTGTAGTGTGTTGTCTGGTCAGCATACTTTAGCCACGTTATTGTGACTCATCGCCTGCAGTTTGTGTTGTGCTTGCCCTGACTTTCAATTTCCGCATATTACAGATGATCATTTTATTCGCTTTACATACAGCACGTGCACAACCTGCTCCCCCGTGCTCATCTGCACAGAACCATCAGTAAGGGCATAGAATTCAATTGTTTGAGATTCTGAAGACGACTATCAATAGCTTCAAGTGTTATGCATCTCACAGTAAACAAAATTGCATCAGGGAGTTGTTTGAATTGTATGAAGATATCGACATAAAAATAATATAAGAGTATCTGTTCAGTCAGGAGAGGATGGGAGGAGCAACCTTGCGGTGGGAGCAGGAGGATACTGGGCAAAAAACGAATACATTCTTCTCTTACTAGGTTTCCTTGGAACACGACCCGTTAATTGGTTTTCCAACAAGTTACCAATTACTGTAGAGAGGATATAGAGGCGAACAGTTAATGATCTACTTTGTATGCCCAATGGTCGAACTTTGTTCGCTGATGTCGACAAACATTAAGACGCTGTGCGCTGACGTACATAATATGACAGTTATTGAACAATTGCTCTAGCAGTTCACTTTACAAATCTACCGCATGATTGTATCTCGCAGTCTCCGTGACGGGAAGATATTCCTATAGTTCCCTATATTGATCTATTATTTGTCTTGATTTCTCTCGTGCAAATTGCGGAAGCCCCAAAGAAAGCCAAACTCTGAGTCAAGTTGATGCAGGTGTTCAAATAGCTATTTAACTAGATCTATTAACTTGTCAAGGATTACCTAGAGGAAAGTATGGGACCTCTTACTGCCACACTCTGGATAGACTTGTCATCCTCTTAGTGAGTGAAGGTCTTGTTTCCTGTTTCTCCGAATACGGTCACGTTCTGTTTCTTGGCCGAAGTTTGCTGGAAGGAAAATCTTTGGAACAGTCCGATAGAATCTAACTCTCCTCCTAGGGGTCACGGTCGACGCACTCAAACATCTCGGGAAGTTCACCAGATTCTGTTAGTGTTCTTTGAAATCCTTTGTCGGAGCTGCAGTCCAGAAAGAAGTTTTGGTTTTCCAGCTGCGTTAGAGCAAGGTACAGGTCACGCGCCTGAAGCAGTACACTGATAAAAACTTTATTTAAAAAATGCCGTCACACTAACGAGGACCCGCACATTTAAAAGTGAAATATTCTCTTCTCCTCAGCTTTTGCATTAGTACGTACACTGTTGCCACATACTCCTGATGGGACAGCATGTGCAGTGCTCCTAATAGGGCAGGAGGATATCCTTATACCAATCCTTATGGCCTAACCAATCCTGTAAGGTTTGGTTAATCCTGGACATTACTAACTGAGCGCCATGACTGAACAATCCCCGGCAATTTCTTAAAAACATTCGCTGGTGAAGTGTTTTAAAGTACTGTGTACGCCAGGGGGCGAGCCCTGGCTATGCAGGTTCGAACTCTGGTCGGGTCATGATTAATTGATTGATGAAGATTAAGCCACCCAAGAGGTGGCACGGGCATGAATAGCCCGTAAGTGGTGGCCCTTTTGAGCCATTACCAGTATCAAGAGCTGATACTGGAGATCTGTGGAGGTGCGACTGCACCCTGCGTGACGGGAGATGTCTCCCGTGACCAAATGGTGACCAGATGGTAGGTCGGGTCATAGGGTTCTCCAGTTTATAACATCAGCACCT